GGGAGTCTGCTTCTCCCTCTCCCGCTCCCCCCTCTTGTCCTCTTTCTCTCTCTCACTCTCTCTCTCAAATAAATAAATAAAATCTTTAAAAAAAAAAAAATCAGTGTGATAGGTCACATCAATAACAATGTATAAAGGCCATATGATCATTTCAATAGATGCAGAAAAAGCATTTGACAAAGTACACCATTTCTGATAAAAACCTTCAACAAAGTAGGTTTAAAGGAATGTACTTTGACATAATAAAGGCTGTATATGAAAAACAGCTAACGTCATACTAGTTTCCCTAAGGTCAAGAACAAGACAAGGATGTCCACTCTCACCACTTCATCAAAATAGTACTGGAAGTCCCAGCCATAGCAATTAGACAAGAAAAAGAAAAAGCATCCAAATTGGTAAGGAAGAAGTAAAACTGTCACTGTTCACAGATCACGTGATACTATATATAGAAAAATCTAAAGACTCCACCAAAAAAATTACTAGAATTGATAAATGAATTTAGTAAGGTCACAGGATACAAAATCAGTGTACAGAAATATGTTGCATTTCTGTACATTAATAAGCAGCAGCAGAAAGAGAAATTAAGAAAACAATCGCATTTACAATTGCACCAAAAAGAATAAAATACCTAGGAATAAACTTAATCAAGGAAGTGAAAGACTTATACTCTGAAAACTATAAAACACTGAAAGAAATTGAAGGTGACACAAACAAATGGAAAAATATTCCATACTCATGGATTGGAAGAAAAATATTGTTAACGTGTCCAGGCTACTCAAAGCAATCTACAGATTTAATGCAGTCCCTACTGAAATAGCAACAGTATTTTTCACAGACTAGAACAAATGATCTTAAAATTTGTATGGAACCACAAAAGACCCTAAGGGGCACCGGGTGGTGCAGTCGGTTGAGCATCTAACTCTTGGTTTCGGGTCGTGGTCTCAGGGTTGTTGGATCAAGCCCTGCGTCAGGCTCCATGCTTAGCCGAGTTGGCTTGGGATTCTCTCTCCCTCTCCTTCTGTCCCTCCTGCTCTCTCTCTAAAATAAAGATAAATCCTCTTTTTTTTTTTTAAGGCAACTTTATTTATTTTAGAGGAACTGTGTGTGAATGCGAGTAGGGGGAGAGGCAGAGGGAAAGAGAGAATCTCAAGCAGACTCCTTGCTGAGCATGGAGCCTGATGTGGAGCTCGATCCCATGACCCTGAGATGATGATCTGAGCCAAAATCAAGAGTCAGGCGCTTAACTGAGTGAGCCACCTGGCACTCCATAAATAAGATTAATCTTTTAAAAAAAAAAAAAAAGTTAAATAGCCAAATTCTTGAAAAAGAAGAATAAAACTGGAGGTATCACAATCCCAGATTTCAAGATATACTACAAAGCTGGAGTAATCAAAACAGTATGGTACTGGTACAAAAAAAAAAGACACGTAGATCAATGGAACAGAATAGAAAACCCAAAAATAAACCCATGCTTATATGGTCATTTAATCATTGACAAAGGAGGCAAGAATATACAATGGGAAAAAGACTGTTCAACAAATGGTGTTGGGAAAACAGAACAGCAACATGCAAAAGTATGAAACTGGGCCACTTTTTTATACCACACACAAAAATAACCTTAAAATGGGTTAAGGATCTAAATGTGAAACCTGAACCATAAAAATCTTAGAAGAGATTCCGGGCAATAGTTTCTGTGACATTGACAGTAGTAACACTTTTCTAGATATGTCTCTCAAGGCAAGGGAAACAAAAACAAAAATAAACTCTTGGGACTACATCAAAATAAAAAGCTTCTGCACAGTGAAGGAAACAATCAACAAAACTAAAAGATAGTCTCCTGAATGGGGGAAGATATTTGCGAATGACATATCCAAAATATATGAAAAACTTCTACAACTCAACACCAAAAAAACAAATAATCCAATTAAAAAATAGGCAGAAGACATGAACAGACATTTCTCCAAAGAAGACATACAGATGGCCAACAGACACATGAAAAGTTGCTCAGCATCACCCATCATCAGGGAAATGCAAATCAAAACCACAATGAGATACCACCTCACACCTGTCAGAATGGCTAAAATCAGAAACACAAGAAAGAGCAAGTGTTGGCGAGGATGTAGAGAAAAGGGAACCCTCATGTACTGTGGGTGGGAATGCAAACTGGTGCAGCCACTGTGGAACACAGTGTGCAGATACCTCAAAAAATTAAAAATTGAAGTATTGTATGTATGATACAGTAATTCCACTACTGCGTATTTACCCAAAGAATACAAAAACATGAATTCGAAAAGATACATGCACCCCTATGTTTATTGCAGCATTATTTACAATAGCCAAATTATGGAAGCAACCCAAGTGTCCATTGACAGATGAATGGATAAAGAAGGGGTGGTGTGTATGTATACACACACACACACACACACACACACACACACACACACTGGAATATTACTCAGCCATGAAAAGAATGAATCTTGCCATTTGCAGCAACATGGATGGATCTAGAGAGTATAGTTCTAAGTGAAATAAATCAGAGAAGACAAATACCGTATGATTTTACTCATATGTGGAGTTTACAAAACTAACAAAAAAAAGAGACCAACAACAACAAAAAAAAACAGACTCTTAACTGTAGAGAATAAACTGTTGGTTACCAAAGCAGAGGTGGGTGGGGGAATGGGTGAAACAGGTGATGGGGATTAAGGAGGGCACTTGT